TTCAGATGTCCAAATATCCTGCTAATTGTGGCTTCTGTTGAACAGACGGGTACACATGGACTGAAATTCAGATGGTTCTTGCTGAACCAGCCTAATTTTGATACATGTATACCCACTGTGACCTGGGAGATCATTAGCTCAGTGGTAGATGTGTTGTTTAGTGAAGTCCATGTCAGATGGAACTGTGTTTAAGGGGTTGGTAGGCTACTTTTATTAAAAAAAAACAGAAATAAAGCAAAAGTCCAACATGCAATATCCCACGCAGGGGTTCTTCTCCAGCAAAATACAAATGTTAATCGCTAAGTCACCTGGCTCTTAAGGCTCACCCAGCCTTGGTTGCAGTAACTTACTGCACAGGCCTAGCCTCTATGTAGAGGTTCTCCTGACACCATAGGCTCACTCACTCTTCTGAGACTCATGGATTCCTCTGGTCCCCTGGATTGTCTCCCAGTTGTCTCAGCTATATTCTCCCAGACTCTCTCATCTGGCCCAACGTTCTGAGTCTACTGACTAGGAACCTCTCCCACATGGAGTGCTGCCTTTACAGTAGAGAGGAGCACACCTCCCTCCTGGCTGCAACTGCAACACCAATAGCTCTCTTGAGCTATGCTCAGATCTGTCATATGTTGATCCTGAAGATGTGTGCACTCACACAGGCTGCAAGAGTCAAGCAAGGCCTGGGCACTAGATTGAAGGTTCCTTTACACCCAAGTCACTTTGGAATCTTCAAAATCTTGGCCCCAGTCCAGAACTATGAAATCTGGAGAAAACATAGCACAGCTTTCTCCATTCGCTATAAACATGCCAGAGCTTCTCAAACTGCACCTTTGAGAATTTAGTGTTCTTTTTACACAGATTTGCTAAATTCTCACCATGGTGGGGCCTTGCACTGTCATGTCAGCTTAAATCCATCCTTGTAGTGCCCCCCCCTCCTTTACCCTTGCACTTCAAGGGTTAAATGCTTGTTAGTCTAGGGGCAGAGGATCAAGGAGAAAATATTCAGCTTACTCCTTGCCTAAGTAGAGTCACTCCAGTGCTGCAACAAATTCCCCTCAGTCTGTTCTGTAAGCTTTGACTGGCTGTAGTCACACTCCGGCCTCCTAAATGTATAATACAAGGTTATTGTACATGATGACACCTAGGCTCCACCCATAGACCACAGCTTGAGCCAGGTGGAAGGGTTGTAAGGTGAGTAATTCTGCTTTTACAGTAACTCCTGGGCATAATGAGCATTTAACAGTGTGTGTGGAGAATTCACTGCAAGGGTGGATTTTATTTTGATTTTCATGGATTTGTTTTTTCATTTATATCGCTGCCATGAATCCCTGTGTTTAGGGCATTGTCTATTTTAAACCGATAGACTGCCAAGAAGCAGGAGTGAGATTCCAGGCCCAAAAATCCATATTATACATAAACACTCAGCTGGTAATCATTCCGCATTTGTGAAGTTTAAAATCAAAAAGTCTACACATAGCATGTTTTTATCACTGCTGCACTGCCTCCCTCCAGTTATTTACATCCCATAGGAAGACCGGCTGTGACAGTGGTCTCCAAACTGTGCGGCCCTTTGCTTGCCTTTCTCCAGCCCATGGACAGGAACAATAGGGCACCATTCCTTCTATTGACATCAATGATGGAGCACTATTCCTTCCCCTGATATTGGCGATTGGCACTATTCCTCCTTCTGGTACAAGGGACTCTTCCTCAGACTGGAACCAACCATGGAGCACCATTCCTCTCATTTACACGAATGATGGGACACTAGTCTGTCTCCTGATACAAAGAAATGGCACTATTTCTCCCACTAATACCAATGATGAAGCATTGTATATTGCCATTGACGCCAAATCATTTTCCACTCACACTGGTCACGTTCCGGCCCCCAGGGAGTCTGAAGGATAGTAAACTAGCCCTTTGAAAACTATGGAGACACCTGCCCTATGCAGTGGACAGATATCTTTTTAAATGTTTAAGCCCCTGCCAGACAATGAACCATAGTTAGCAATACAAAATTATTTATAAAAATCAGGATCTGTGACCACTTTTTTGTAGATGCTTGAGCCTTTTCAGGAAAGGGGTCATTAAAATATACATCGTTCAGGGAAAGTCATCCCCAAGGTACTTTAGTTGTGTGACAGAATTTCTATAGGGTTTCATATGGTTCCAGTCCTGATGAGATAGGGAACTATTACACTGGAAGTTTGATGTTTTATTTCATTGCAGCAGATTATACAAATAGCCTCCTGGGGTTGTATGTTTTAAAATGTTGAGTGTTTTTTGCTAAGGAGCCACAGATGATGAGTACATTCGCCCAATGTATATTGTGGCGTTTGTGGAAACGTATGCATGCATACAGACATATGTCCATGGATACAGACAGACTGCACCCAGGGTTGTATCTCTGTACACCTGCATATGCTTAGGCAAGTACCAGCGTACAGCCATTGATTTCTATGAGCAACTATGCACAGCACCTCTGGCTCCCAGGGGAAGATTACAGCCAAATTTTACATCATACAACCCCTAGCATCTGTAGGTATGAGAACTACACCAAGTTCTGTGTTTTGTAGGGTCAAATGTGAATCAACTACAGGCTGGTCTTGCCCCATGATGGTTTTACATTTTTATTAAGCTAAGCTACACAGGCAATGTTTGGATGTGAAGTCATACAGTATATCATCTACAACTGATTACAGAATACTGAGAACAGTGCAATGTTTCAGAACATTAGGGAAAGCACATTATAAATCACTGCAACTTACCAAGACACCACAATGTGTATTTAATGCAACCATCTGCATGTTGTGGTACACTGCTACTAAAAATAATGCACGTCTTTTAATTGTTTTGCTGCCAGGTCTGTCGTATGGATGGACGGGGGGGGGGGCACCGGGATTTTACACACACACTCCCCAGTGGCCCACTTGCTTCCACATTTATTCCCGGCATTTATTCCCGGCTGTGCTTGCCCATCTCTGGTCCCGTAACTGGTATAATTGGTGCCACCGGATAGAGGGGAGGGGGCAGAGTGGACTCAACGTCTGCTTTCCTCCCCTTCTTGTTGCTGACCCAGAAGCGTCATGTAAAATGTCACTTCTGGGTCCTCATGTCCGTGTTCCTGGCCTTTATGGCCAGGAAAGAATCTAATGCAGTGCAATCTGCACTGCATTAGATTCAGTGGATCACAGGGGAGACATCCAGGGTCTTTCAGACCCTGGATGTCCCGTTAAATAAAAAATGGTCACCAAACAATCATCACATAGGGGGCTTTTTGTCCCCTATGTAATGAAAAAAAAAAGTTAAGTACATTTTTTTTTTATTGTAAAAAAATTAAAGTTACACTCAAGCACATAAAATCTCCCCCCAAAATTTTTCTTGAGTTTTGAGGCCCCCTACCTCCAACATACTCTTTCACGAATGTAAACACATGTGTCAGGGGTGCCTGTGCATGAAAATGTCGATTGCAAAACATGTTACATATCAATACGCAAGTTGTAGTGAGAGCAATATTTCTGGCACAGACCTTGTCCGTACCTCCAAACTGATGACCTATATGGGGCTTTTAAAGCGTTGAAAAATAAAGGGTACTGAAATTTGTTGCCATTTCACAGGTGCACACAAATTTAAGATTTGACATGTTGGGTATCTATTCACTTCATCTTTAGATTTTACAAAAAAATGGGCAACCTATTATGTTTGTGTGCCCTAAATTTAACTTTAGTGTGTGTATTACTGAAATGTTGCATTTCGTAGACCTTTGCGGTAATATTGTACGAAAAAAAAATTGCAACTACCACTGTTTTATTCTCTTGGGTGTCTGCTTTCAGAAAAGATATCATGTTTGGGGGGGTTTATTCAATCCTTAGGCCTAAAACAATTTTTTTAAACATGTCTGCAAAAAAAAAAGCAAAAAAAAAAAAGCCTTTGGCAGCAAAAAAGGTTAAAATGTCAGTTTTGGTTAGTTGGCATTCAAAATCAGTAGGTGACCTTACTATAACATGCATTATCTACATTATGCTCGTGCAGTAAAGTACCACAAATGCAGTATGTAAATTGACCCTTCCTGTAAGTCATAGTAGAACTATGTGTAGTTAATAACACTGATGTAATGTGAAATTAAAATACAACAGTATGTACTTTAAACAGCTGCTATTAGAAAATCAAAACACAAACACAAGTTAAAAGAACATTTATTGATTAAAAAGTGGTGGCGATTTCACCATTAATCTAGTCCAATCAGCAATACCACACCTGGTAAATTGCTGAATTTAATTGGCAATATCTCTGGATTCATCAGTAATCTTAATCAGAAGAGTAGTGTTTCTTCATTTATAGTACTTCAAGAAAACCTAACCTAAAAAATGTGAGGGCTGTCCTGTCATGGTTACATCTTTCTCTAAAAATACTATTTGCTTGACTGTCATGCTGATCAGTTTGGATACATTCTGCATCGCTGTTTTGCAACAAGTATGTGCATCAAAAGTTCTAATTTCCCTGGCTGCATGCTTGTTGTAGGTCAGTGACTCAATTGGCAATGAACCCAGAGACAGTCAGACAACTAACATCTCAAGAAGCTCAGCCCAAGATGTCTCAGTATAGGTTTCCTTATAACTAGACAACACAAATCTGACCACATTGTGCAAATAACAAATATAGAAATGTTCCAGATGCTAAAGGTATAAATAGAAAAATTAATCACATACAGTATTTTTATTCCAAAATACATGTGTAATGTTATGATGCAACATCTAAAAGTTGCACAAAATCATTTATCTTAGGGTGAAGCACAATTAACATTTTTTTCAGCTAATATATGTTGGAACCTAAGGTCCACAAGGAGCCTAAGTTGTGGTACATAGCGCTTAAGGCATGTTGAAATAACTTTGACTGAGAACATTTTAGCATGCAAAAGAAAACTTTCAGGTGCCCTAAGCACGAATTGAAGCTTGATCATTTAGAACCTTGTAAACGTGTTGATGCATGTTCACTCTGATTCCACACTAATTTAATTTTACATTGTAGTAGGCCTGCAGAACTGTCCTCACTGTGGCCACATATTTATCTCCTGACACTGGTTTTCTTTTACTACCAGGCTGCAGAAATGCTTTGATTGTAGGTATTTCACTTATTCTCTGCTTGAACTCCTAGGAAACAGAAATTAAATTAGTATATCTGGCAATGTCCTTGTAGCGTGTATCTATGTATAGGGCAGCATCTGGCTGTGTGCCTGTATGGTGAATCGTCTGGCTGTGTGCCTGTATGGTGAATCGTCTGGCTGTGTCCCTGTATGGTGAATCGTCTGGCTGTGTCCCTGTATGGTGAATCGTCTGGCTGTGTGCCTGTATGGTGAATCGTCTGGCTGTGTCCCTGTATGGTGAATCGTCTGGCTGTGTCCCTGTATGGTGAATCGTCTGGCTGTGTCCCTGTATGGTGAATCGTCTAGCTGTGTGCCTGTATGGTGAAGCGTCTGGCTGTGTGCCTGTATGGTGAAGCGTCTGGCTGTGTCCCTGTATGGCGAAGCATCTGGCTGTGTCCCTGTATGGCGAAGCATCTGGCTGTGTCCCTGTATGGCGAAGCATCTTGGCTGTGTCCCTGTATGGCGAAGCATCTGGCTGTGTCCCTGTATGGCGAAGCATCTGGCTGTGTCCCTGTATGGCAAAGCATCTGGCTGTGTCCCTGTATGGCAAAGCATCTGGCTGTGTCCCTGTATGGCGAAGCATCTGGCTGTGTCCCTGTATGGCGAAGCATCTGGCTGTGTCCCTGTATGGCAAAGCATCTGGCTGTGTCCCTGTATGGCAAAGCATCTGGCTGTGTCCCTGTATGGCAAAGCATCTGGCTGTGTCCCTGTATGGCAAAGCATCTGGCTGTGTCCCTGTATGGCAAAGCATCTGGCTGTGTCCCTGTATGGCGAAGCATCTGGCTGTGTCCCTGTATGGCGAAGCATCTGGCTGTGTCCCTGTATGGCGAATCATCTGGCTGTGTCCCTGTATGGTGAAGCATCTGGCTGTGTGCCTGTATGGCGAAGCATCTGGATGTTTGCCTGTATGGCGAAGCATCTGGCTGTGTCCCTGTATGGCGAATTATCTGGCTGTGTCCCTGTATGGCGAATTATCTGGCTGTGTCCCTGTATGGCGAATCATCTGGCTGTGTCCCTGTATGGCGAATCATCTGGCTGTGTCCCTGTATGGCGAATCATCTGGCTGTGTCCCTGTATGGCGAAGCATCTGGCTGTGTCCCTGTATGGCGAAGAATCTGGCTGTGACCCTGTATGGCAAAGCATCTGGCTGTGTCCCTGTATGGCGAATTATCTGGCTGTGTGCCTGTATGGCGAAGCATCTGGCTGTGTCCCTGTATGGCGAAGCATCTGGCTGTGTCCCTGTATGGCGAAGAATCTGGCTGTGACCCTGTATGGCAAAGCATCTGGCTGTGTCCCTGTATGGCGAATTATCTGGCTGTGTGCCTGTATGGCGAATTATCTGACTGTGTGCCTGTATGGCGAATTATCTGGCTGTGTCCCTGTATGGCGAAGCATCTGGCTGTGTCCCTGTATGGCGAAGCATCTGGCTGTGTCCCTGTACGGCGAAGCATCCGGCTGTGTGCCTGTACGGCGGAGCATCCGGCTGTGCCCCTGTATGGCGGAGCATCCGGCTGTGCCCCTGTATGGCGAAGCATCCGGCTGTGCCCCCTGTATGGCGAAGCATCCGGCTGTGCCCCTGTATGGTGAAGCATCCGGCTGTGTCCCTGTATGGTGAAGCATCCGGCTGTGCGCCTGTATGGTGAAGCATCCGGCTGTGTCCCTGTATGGTGAAGCATCTGGCTGTGCGCCTGTATGGTGAAGCATCCGGCTGTGCCCCTGTATGGTGAAGCATCCGGCTGTGTGCCTGTATGGTGAAGCATCCGGCTGTGCCCCTGTATGGTGAAGCATCCGGCTGTGTGCCTGTATGGTGAAGCATCCGGCTGTGCCCCTGTATGGTGAAGCATCCGGCTGTGCCCCTGTATGGTGAAGCATCCGGCTGTGCCCCTGTATGGTGAAGCATCTGGCTGTGTGCCTGTATGGCTCAATCTCTAGCAGTGTCCCTGTATCATACAGTGTCCAGTGTCTCTAGATAGCACAGTCTCTGTCCATGTATCTGTATGACAGTCACTGTCCACTGTCCATATAACTGTTTGGCACAGTCTCTATCTACAGTATATCTCTGTTTGGTGCAATTTCTGGCCATGTCTCTGTATAGTTCAATAACTGGCAGAGTCACTGTATGACACAGTCTCTGTCCATGTCTGCGTATGGTATGGCATAGCCAATAGCTGTGTAACTGTATGGCACAGTCTGGCAGTATAGCACAGTGTCCCTGTATAGCAGTCTCTGGCCATGTCCCTGAATGGCACAATATTTGACATTTCTCTGTATGGCACAACCTTTGACAGTGTCTCTATGGCATAATCTCTGACAGCTTCTTTCTATAACACAATCTCTGGCAATGTCTCTGTATGGCACAATCTCTGACAGTGTCTTCTTGGTACAATCTCTGACAAGTGTCTCTATGGTATAATCTCAGGTAGTGCCTCTGTATAGCACAATCTCTGGCAGTGTCTCTATGGTAGTGTCTCTGACAGTGTCTCTCTATGACAAATTTCTGGCAATGTCTCTGTGTGGCACAGTCTCTGGAAGTGTAGCACTATTGCACAATATCCCTGTATGTCAGTCTCTGGCCATGTCTCTGAATGTCACAATCTTTGACCATATCCCTGTTTGGCACAGTCTCTGGCAGTATCTCTGTATGGCATACTCTCTGTCAGTGTCTTTGTATGACAGTGTCAGTGTCTATGTATGGCACACTCTCTGACCGTGTCTCTATGGCATAGTCTCTGACAGTGTAGCTCTATGTCACAGTATCTCTGTATGTCAGCCTCTGGCCATGTCCCTGAATATCACAATCTTTGACCATATCCCTGTTTGGCAGTCTCTGGCAGTGCCTTTGTATAGCACAGTTTTTGCCCATGTTTGTGTATGGCACAATCTCTGACACTGTGCCATGTTAAGGAAGTATACGGGTGATTTGTACAAGATACAATACCTGGCAGTATTTCTCTAACCTTTTTCAGACTCTGTGACAATTTTTGTGTAAGCTCCGTGTCTCATTTATCATAGCTGATCTTTTTTTTTTTATATTGCAGTGATAAAAGCATGTTCTGATAGGAATATGACTACAGGACTCACTAACCAGGTCAGTTTTGCAAGTATTAGTGGATACATAAGCAGGTTATGGGTGCAGTATTTATAGGGCCCTGTCAGATGCAGGTCTGTAAAAAAAAAAAAAAAAAAAAAGCAGACAAGCCTACTTACGTTGTAAATAATAACCTATGCCACATTCACTGCACCTATAAAATATGCTTTATTACTGTGCCGCAAGTGAGAGTCTAAAGACATGTGCAAACCTCACCACAATCCTTTATAAAAAATGTATATAGTGTAAAACTCTTGTGCTGCTACTCATATATAAAACATCACAAACACCAGTAGCCAACTAACACTAATATGCGCTTCACACATTAAAAACAACAGTAAAGTATAACAGTGCAGCAATATTCTCATTTAAACACAATTCATCATAAAGAAAATGGGGTTGATTTACTGAAACTGGAAAGTGCAGAATCTGGTGCAGCTGTGCATGGTAGCCAATCAGCTTCTAACGTCAGCTTGTTCAATTAAGCTAAGACAATAAAACCAAAGCAGATTGGTTTCTATGCACAGCTGTACTAGATTCTGCACTCTCCAATTTTAGTAAATCAACTGTGTTGTGTAAGTTCAATCTCATGTGTCAGCAAAAATCATAGCACCAAATGTGCTATCCAAACAATTCATCAACACAACACATTTTATTTATGCTGTGTTGTGTTTAAATGAGAGCAGTACAATGTGTTTAAATGCCCTTTTAATGCATTTGCAGTGTGTTTGTGGCACATTTGCAGTGCTTTTTTTTTTTTAGACAGTTTTTTTTCTACTGAGTTATGCATTTACAGTATGTTCTGGTATGTTTGTGTGTGAAAAAAATGCAGCGCGCTGTGCTTTATAAACTGCTCATGAAAAACACCACAATGGTGCAAACTAGGCTCAGTCAATTGAATGCGGGGATTGTAGTGTAAATGAGCCATAAAGGCAGACAGAATAGGGGACAGCCATTCAGGCTGGGGTTAAGAGTTCCTGAGGATTGAAGAGACTCTGGCAGTGTCCTGGAGGTGAGAATGGGAGGAGGTGACAAGGGAACAAGAGAGCAGGAGGTCTTGGAAGGACCTAAGAGAACAGCTTGAGTGATATTTTGAGATAAAGTTGCTGATGTAGCTGGGGAAGAGGCTTTGTATGGTGTTCATACCAGCAGCCAGTGGGGGGATTGGCAGAGAGGTGTGGTGAACACTGAACGGTTAGTAAGGTGGATAGGTATGGCAACAGCATTCATGACAGAATGATAAGAAGATAGCCAATGTAGGAGTAGACCAATGAGGAGGGAGTTTCCAGTAGTCAAGACAAAGAAATAATCTAGTGCAGTGGTCTCCATACTGCGGCCCTTTGCTTGCTTTTTTTCTGGCCCTTGAAACTATTCCTCTAACTCACACAAACATTAGGGCACATTCCTCTCACTTAAACCAACACTGGGGCAGTAATCCTCCTAACTGTACCAAGGATATGGCACTATTCATCCCACTGACACCAATAATGGGGCACTATTCCTCTCACTGATACCAAGAATGGGGCACTATTCCTTCCACTGACACCAAAGATGGGGCACTATTCCTTTTCCACTGATATCAATGATGGGACACTATTCTTTCTACTGACACCAATGATGTGGTACTATTCTTCCCTTTTAATATTATTGATGGGGCATTCTTTACTCCCACTGGCTGAAGTCTGGCCTCTCTAAAGTCTGAAGGACAGTAAACTGGCCCTTTGTTTGGAGACCGCTGACCTAGTGGATTAGTAGCTTTGTGGTGTAGTTGGTTGGGAAGCAGCATTTTTGGAAATGTTACTGAGGTTAAGGCAGCAAGATTTGGACAGTGATTGGATGTGGGGCTGAAGGGATATAATATTTTATTAGTTTTACTGATGGATCAGCTAGTTCTTGTTTTATCTTCCTTCCTGCAACCATCAATCTGAGAATAGAGTGTAAGGATTTGTGGGACAAACACAGGGTTTATTTCTAATTGTAGTTCATTATAAATTACATATAATTCTGCAGGTTACATGAAAATGTTGTATATAAAGCCATTATGGGAAAAAAAAAACATCTCCATAGTATATTTTTAAAAGTTGTAATCACTGCAATACCTTCAGTCCTGGAAAGTCAGATAGGATACAGGCACATTTTTCTTCTACCATTAGGATGGCCTCCAGCAGCTGTATATCTGCCCAGCTCAGCTGATTTCCAACCAGGAATTTCCCACCATGATCTTTTAAGATCTGCAGTAATTGTAGAGATAGGTCCATATGTTATGTCTTAACCAAATGTTAAGTTAAAGTCCAGACATTATTACCCCCTTCCTGTCCAGGCCAATTTTCAGCTTTCAGTGCTATCACACTTTGAATGACAATTGCACAGTCATGCAACACTGTACGCATATAAATTGTTAGCATTTTTTGAGACAGATAAAAATGTATTTTGGTGGTATTTATTCACCACTGGGATTTTTATTTTTTTGCTATATAAATGAAAAAGTCCAAACATTTTGAAAAAAAAAGTGTTTTTTATAAATAAATAATCTTTCTTCATAAATCTTAGCCAAAATGTATTCATCTATCTTTTTAGTAAAAAAAAAAACAAAACAAAAAAAAACAAAATTAGTTTATAACCAAAAATAATAATTTTTTAAAACATTTTTTGACTTTTTTTATATTATTATTTATGTGTTGTTTTTTTTTTAACATACTGTCACCCTAGTAGCACAGTATCACCATAGTGACACTGTACTACTTGTGGGGGGTGATGAAGATTTTTTTTTTTTTTTTACACCGATTGCTTTTACACCCATAAAGGCTGTAAAAGCAATCATTTATCCTTCTCTCCGGCTGCATTCTTGCAGCCATTGAGAAATACTGTGATTGGTCACAGCTTGTCACATGGTACAAGGCTGTTGTGAATAGCCTTGTACCATGTGACCTCTGTGATCATTCACAGATTTCACTAGTAGTAAGCAATGATGTCAGCAAGTGACACATGATCGGGACCTCACACAGGTGAGGATTGGTGTTCCGCTGTGTCTAGAAGCTGGAGGTGCCACACGCTCCTAGGGAGCGCGCACAAGCAGGGAAGCAGGGAGGATGATTGCTTCTGCAATGCTCCCATTCGGCTGTTTATATACATGGGCCGGACGGGAAGTGGTTAAACTGGCCGTACACTCAGAGATTTCCGTTCAAATATTTATACGAAAACTCTCAGTACATTTAATGACCTGATGAATGTTGTTTGAAAGTACTTCATAATTTTGTTTTTGCTTTTAACATTCAATTTTGGAATAAATGTAATTTCCTAACCGAAACCCGTATATACTCATTTAAGAGAAATTTTCCATCCTGCTCCATCAAATATTTTCTTCACTATGGTCGAAATTAAATGTCAATTTGACCCCACTAACAATTAGAAAATTAAGCAAAAGTTCCTAAAATGAAAATTTTCAAATTAACTTCTACTAGTGTATAACTAACTTTAGTTATTATACTGATATTGCAGTAATATGTAATAAATGCCATTGTCCTAATCATAACATAGAACTTCAGCCAATTTACTTATTTTTTGTTTAATATAAAGTGGGGTTGTTTTGAAACCTTTGTTAGATTTATCGAGTGGGGACACCAATAAAAAAAAAAAAAAAATCAATATTAATGCAGAAGTGCCCTATCAAATTCTGACAGAAGAAATGCATTATAAAATAAACTACCTTTTCATAAACAGGAAAGTATCTTTCTTTAGCCTTTTGCTCAATAATTGTAATGTGCTTCTGTTTGTCCTCTGGTGAAAAAAATGCGTGTGGGATGAGGATTTCTAGAAGATCAGTAGTGCCTCCAACATACATATCAATTCTGAAAGCATAAAGAAGAAATGACCTGCAATTATTCGTTACCAACTATATACTTTCAAAAATGGATAACTATATAAATGACATAACTTTGAAAGGGATTCTGGGAGGCTGCCTTTAATAAACTCTTCTTTTGAGAGTACTAGTTCCCTGGCTGTCATGCTGAAGCTATGGCTTCAAGGTTTTCTAAGTCACTGACCCAAAACCATTTTAGAGATTAGGAACTTGTTTGTAGCATGCTTGATCTGGATCTGACTCAAAATATTTAAATCAGATATCAGACAAAGCCATGTGCCAAAGTCGTTCTGGGATCCTTTGATACCACAAGTTCTGTTATAATAGGCTTTTCTCCCAACAGCAGCAAGGCTACAAAATGATGCTACCCTACATTTACAAATGTATCCATTTTCTGAAGAAGTACATCCAAAGCTTTTTTTGGCTATACTTCTCATATGGATCATAGAAGTGCAGTTAATTCTGAACTCCCGTGACTCCAGCCGATGGTAGGCTAAATCCCGCTGTCTGCCGATGTCACAAAGCCAGTTCAAGCTCTGAAAAGATCTGGACCACATGGTTGGGATCCACCCAGAAGCCTGGACCGACACCTGGCTCAGCCTCTCAGTGATCTTCTGAGAGCCTGAGCCAGCCCCTCCAGCCCTCTCCACAGCCCAGCACTCCAGTGAGCGCTGGAGAGGCAGAGAAGAGAGCTGGAGACTGACTGTCTCGGCTCTCTGCTCAGAGTGGAGGGGGAGAACTGAGCGATCAGAGGTGTTTGATTGCTCAGTTCTCAGTGCAGAGCCAGCAGGGGACAGATGCAGCATCGGATTCATGCTGCGTCCACCTAGGGAAATATAATTTTTTTATTCAGAAAGCCATACTCTTAAATAATTAGTAGCTCTTTTATAGATTTATGCAGATATAATGATACAATTTGCAGTAAATTATAATATATCTATGTACCATACATACAAACATTGCTCTTGCTAGATTACAGTAATCATTGTGCAATTATACAATATGGCTTCAAGAGTAATGTTATTCCTTTTTGTTCTGATAAGCGTCTTTTATACTTCCCTCTAAGGCCTGGTTCACACTGGTGCAGCTGCAATTTCATTGAATTTTCAATGTGATTATGTAGTGCAACTGAAGAGTGGCTTGGAGAGTTGTTGACACATTTTTTACACCATTTTCATACTGGTGAAATTTCTAAAAGGGGAGGGGGGAGTAGGAGTAGAATAGTTGTAACAGAAAAACATACAGAAATCACATAAATGCATACAAAAAATGAATGTACATGCGATTATAATGCATTTCTATTGAAGTCCATGGGGCAAAAAAAAATGCACCGAACCAAAGCAGGACATATAACTTCCCCAAAGTCACATTGCAGCTGCATTGCATTGATGTGAACAAGCACCACTGAAATCAATGTGTTTTCCATTGTCATGTGATTCTGTGTGACTTAAGTTGCATCTAAAATTGCACCAGTGTAAATCAGACCTAATTAGATGTAGCGCCCTCTTGTGTACATAGTTTGTAGTGTAGTTAGAGGCTTGTTAGAAGCCTGAGTGTGTGTCAGCAGGTTAGGCATGAGGTCAGGTTGGAGGGCTCCACAGGTCAGGCCTCTGATACCTCCCCCTGGTTCTGGAAGCTTGGAGAAGTTTCTAGAAGCTAGTGGGTGGAGGCCAGAAGGTGCTGATCTGCATATTCATGGGAGTCTGATCAATCCCAGGCAGGAGGCCTGGCAGTGTGGCATACAGGCCCATAAATATAAGAGAGCCTGTCCAACAAGGGGAGTTGGGTGGAAGATGGAGTGCTGAGGTATGCTGCTGTGTAGCCTGGGAGGGGACCCCAGAGAAGGGGGGTTCTGCTTCCAGGGCAGAGGTCAGAAGGATGGGAGAAGGAAGTTGACAGAGGGAGCACTGCCCTGCAGTCCGTTGAGGAAGGACAGCCTGTTATTCTGGAAGGAAACCCAATGAAAAACCTGAAAGCAGGTTATCCAAAGCTATAGCACACAAGGACAGTGTGAGTACCTCTGCACTCCGAGGCCTACAGGAGAGAAGGCTGCTAGGTGTTATACCCAACCATTTCTCCCTGGGACAGTGCTACAAGTCTGTTCTAGATACTCTTCAAAGACAGCCAAGATGGATGGGTAGTTTCTAGCTGGGGTCTGAAGAGATTCACTTAGAGGGGACCAAGTGTTCCTATCAGAGACTGTTTTACTGATCCATCAAGAGACTGATACCTCTCCAGAGGGAGAAAAAAGTCCAGGATCCTACATTTTGTTGTTCTGAATTTAGGAAGTTTATCCTCAGAGTACTGCTTTCAAGGCAAGTTGGGCATCCCATATACCCCTAGATCCACCCCTAAATCAAAAAACAAAAACAATCTCATGGACTGGTTACTGACTCTGGAAATGCATGCTGCCTGGCTGTGCAAGAAAATAGGGGAACGAAAACCAGCAGCTCTCAAGGGGGTAGCGCTACATAAAGATGAGGTGGACTTGATTATTCTTTACCCATACTCATGTATAAGTTTGGAAATGTTAATTTTGATTCCTGCAGTTTGAGATCTTTTTGTTTGTTTTCTTGTGATTCTACATCATTTAGTACAATAGGTCCTGTCACAAATATATATTTTTTGATTCCCATACATTGATGCTATCATATCTAGTTCAGATGAGGTTATTGTATTCATATATTAATCCTCTAAATAAAGAGAACTCTGATAATCGCAGCAGTAAATTGTTTTTATAAAACATAAAAAGACCAAGGCCATCTCTGCATGCCATAGGGCCTTACAACATAAATTGCAGGCATATTTTCCCATTTGGGTGCACAGCTAGTGTATAGCAGTCAACCATAGTACTTAAAGCGGAGTTCCAGTCATTTTTCTGTTTATTAAAAGTCAGCAGCTACAAAAACTATAGCTGCTGACTTTTAATAAACACACACACTTACCTGTCCCAGGGTCCAGCTATGTGCTCACCCATGTTGTCCCTTCTCTCCCTCTTCTCTCCCCGGCGCCGACATCACAACTGTGGGCACCAGACTGTGACAGCTTGTGGCTTCACAGCTGAGTGCCCACTGCACATGCGCAAGTCGTGCTGTGCATTCTGATTGGTCCAGCAGTCTTCTGGGACCCAGGAGACTACGGCAGGAAGGAGGGGCTGAACGTCCTGCTCACTTCGCCATGGCAAAATGAGTCAGAAGTGGGAGTGGGTACCTATCAAAAACAGGTATCCGCTCCCCCCCCCCAAAAGGTGCCATTGAATACACAATATGTAAAAATTGAATACTCATTGGTAACATTAGCACCATTAATGATACATGATTAGTCACCAACTTAATACTATCCTAGCAACAAAAAAAAAAAAAAAAGTCATACAGCAATCTTTCCTTCAGATTCTTCCCATACAGGTCATATTTTGCAGCAATATACTGCATTATGGCTCTTGATTGCACAAGCTTCATTCCATCCATTTCCACCATTGGCACTTGATCAAAAAGTAATGCTCTTTCTAAAAATATAAAACACAGGTTAAAATATGAATCACCAGTACAATAATGGGTAAATGTCAAGTCAGATTATTAATCAGTCAAAAACCCTATATGTGGCCACTCCAGCCCGCCAGGGCAGACAAAGAAAACAGCTCAGAGAGCACAAGTGTGATTGTTTATGGCAACTTAGCACCTCCTGGAATGTCAAAAATGGAGACAATATCATTTGGTAATCAGGAAACATTTTCTTTTATTAACGTCTTTGTCTTTACGACCATACGTTGCAATCCTATTGACCTAAGCAGGAGGAATGATGTTAACCTCTCTGCTGCCCATGTAACACATATTTGTGGCGGCAAAGAGGGTGGGCTTTAATGACCACATGCCGCACATATGCATCCTTGGGTGGTGGAGCTTTCTGTGCGGAGAGTGTGCTCACTGCACACTCGCAGCACAGTGACTGAGCTGTCAAGGACTGCTCCTGGTCTCTACTAATGATCATGTGACCACTGTGATGATAGCCAATCACAGTGGTCATGTAATTTACAAGTCCTTGGGCGTAAAGACCCTGTTACAGGTGGATGGCTGGACTGGCCAGTAAGGGGTAAAAGGCTAGTTCCACATTTTGCAAAAAAAAAAAAAAAAAAGTAATAAATGCACTTATATTGAGTAATAAAAATTGCATATATTATTTTTTTTTTGCATCCAAAGCATTGAAACCATGATCAGTGAGTGGGGGGGCTGTGACTGTGACTCTGATTCATGTTACACTCTACCCTACATATGTGTGTAACAAGAAAAATGGTTGGAAAGGTGGTGATAGTAGAAAACTAATACTTATATTGCTCACTCAAATTTTTTTGCAGATGGATGTCACGATCATGAAATCTTGATTGCATGTCAGTGTTGTTAAATGTGGTTTTGTTAAAGTATTTAACATTTTTAGATGATCATACCTTTGAGTAGGGCTTCATACTGTTCTCTTGTTTCTAAAAAAACTTCATCAAACTGCAGAAAAAATGCAAGATCGTTATCAACGTATTTTTTGTAGCTATGAATGCGTCAGCCGTAAATAAAGTAGAACACAAGTACCTCAATTCCAGCTGCTGTAAGTAGCCAACGAATCGATTCCATTCTACCTCTGCCATCAAAGTAATGAAGTTTGGGTTTTCCAGGCATCTTTCAGCTCTTTAACTCTGTGTAAGTATAATCTCTGGGTAAGTCAAACTAAAATCATATAATAATGTAGAAAATTCATAATAATCACTTACATGAACACAAGTAAAGATGTCTTCTAGGGAACAGACTGGAAGTATGACAAGCAAATAAACTGCCTGCAACATGTACAGTATAAGAAAATCTAAACAAACAGCACGAGTGGTCTTAAATAGAAAGTAAACTATTTACAGCAATTGCATATTTTCAGTTGCTATTGCAGTGTTTACAATTATTATTATTATTCTACAGTATTTATATAGCGCCAAAAGTTTGCTCAGCGCTGTACATTATAATGGGAGACAGTACATGAGACAGTACAGTAACAATACAATGCGATACTCGAGGGGTTCGAGGGCCCTGCTCCTTGGAGCTTACAATCTAGGAGGGAAGGGAGAGTGGTACAGGAGGAAATAGCTGTGGGGGATGGAGTGGTGGGAAGAGCAGAGGAGATCAGCAAGGTGAGGGCTGGGTAGGCTTCTCTGTAGAGATGGGTATTCCGGGTGCGCCTAAAGGTGAGGAGGGAAGGTGACAGTCTGACGGATTGGGGTAGTGAGTTCCAGAGGATGGGGGAAGCCCTGGAGAAGTCCTGGAGTCGGGCATGGGAGGAGAAGACCAGGGAACTGGAGAGTAGGAGGTCTTGTAAGGAGCGGAGAGTGCGTTTTCGGTGGTAGATGGATATCATGTCGGTGACGTAGTTTGGGGCAGTGTTATGGATAGCTTTGTACGTCAGTGTCAATATTTTGAAATTTATGCGTTGGGCAATCAAAAGCCAGTGGAGGGATTGGGGAGGCGGATACGGAGCGGTTGGTGAGGTGGATGAGTCTGGCCGCAGAATTCAGGATAGACTGGAGCGGGGATAGCCTGTGTTGGGGTAGGCCGGCGAGGAGGGAGTTGCAGTAGTCAAGTTGTGATATGATAAGGGAGTGAATGAGTTGCTTTGTGGTTTCAGGAGTTAGGAACGTGCGTATTTTGGAGATGTTGCAGAGGTGGAGTCTGCATGAATTTTTCAGCGATTGGATTTGGGGCTGGAAAGACAGATTGGAGTCTAGAATGACACCTAGTACTTTGGCTTGTGGGGTGGGGCTGATGGTGGCGTTGTTGGTCGTGATGGAGAGGTCTGGGGGGGGCGCGGGCTGGGGGAAAACTAGTAGCTCGGTTTTAGCAAGGTTTAGTTTGAGGAAGTGGAGTTACATCCAGTCTGATATGTCGTTCAGAAGGCTAGTGATTCGGGCGGAGATTGAAGGGGTGAGGCAAGGGGTGGAGAGATAGATTTGAGTGTATTCGGCATAGAGGTGGTAGTTGAAGCCGTGGGAGTGTATCAGTTGACCAAGGGAGGAGGTGTAGATGGAGAAGAGAAGGGGCCCAAGGAAAGGACCTTGGGGGACCCCAACAGAGAGGGGGAGTGAGGGGGAGGTGGCAGCGTTATAGGTGACGCTGAAAGAGCGTTGTAATAGATAGATCCATTGTGATCTTTTACCCCCTCGATAGCTGTCACATTTTTTAAAAAAGCAGCCTTGCTGGGCTCCACACACGGCCACGTCACTCATTCACAGTCATCTGTGAATGAGAGACTACAAGTCCCGACAGCCTTAGCGGCTGTCAGCCTGTAGCCCTCAATTAACTACCTTGGTGCTGTAAAGCGCTGTGATAGTTCATTCATTCCTCCTGTCAGTATATCTGCTTGCTCATACATCCCGTACGTGCAAGCAGATATACTGACAGATCTGCATGGCACCAGCGATCTGCTGATCGTTGGTGCAATGATTTACAGGCTCCTGTAACCAAAAATATTAAATGCACATTTTTTTTCCTGCAAAAAAATGTGCATTCAATATTTTTCTCTAAAAGGTGAACTTATACTTTAAATCAAAAATCCTAAACATACCACCTGGGAGGAAGATAAAGAGCTGCTTTCTATTGTAAAGGTCATAGTAGAGATAATAATTGTGTGGGTGTGTATGTGTGCTTATACTGAGGCTAATCTGCATGGAAAGATATGAACATGGGGGTTAAGTGAATTTGGTATATACACTGTATTAATTTAGTGTATGTATACTGGATGTTTTGTAAACACACACACACACACACACACACACACACACACACACACACAGTTGTGTTCAAAATAATAGCAGTCAGACATCACTAACCTGATCAATCACTGTTTTTGGTAGAAATGATATTTCTACATGGCAAATAATTTACTAGCAGGTGTAGTAGAGTAATAGAAATCCAACAGACCCAACAGTCATGACATGCATGCTGCTGATTCTGTGTAATTGAATCACTAATTGAAAGGGGCATGTTCAAAATAATAGCAGTGTGGAGTTCTATTAGTGAGGTCATTCATTCTTTGAAAAACAGGTGGCAATTATTGCCCTATTTAAGGAAGAAAGGCAGCAAATGTTGTACATGCTGGTTATAGTGCATTTCTCTCTAAAATTCTGTGGAAAATGGGTCGTACCAGACATTGTTCAGAAGAACAGCGTACCTTGATTAAAAAGTTGATTGGAGAGGGGAAAACAAAGAAGTGCAGAAAATGATAGGCTGCTCAGCTAAAATGATCGCAAATGCTTTAAAATCAAAACTTGAAAGATGTGGAAGAAAGCGAAAAAACTACCATTCGAATGGATAGATGAATAGTCAAAATGGCAAGGACTCAGCTAACAATCAGCTCCAGGAAGATCAAAGAAGGTGTAAAGTTACCTGTGAGTACTGTTACAATTAGAAGACGCCTATGTGAAGCCAAGCTATCTGGAAGAAGCCCCCGCAAAGTCCCACTGTTGAAAAAAAGACATGTGCTGAAGAGGTTACAATTTGCCAAAGAGCACATTGACTGGCCTAAAGAGAAATGGTGCAACATTTTGTGGACTGATGAAAGTAAGAATGTTCTTTTTGGGTCTAGTGGTCAGAGGCAGTTTGTCAGATGACCCCCAAACACTGAATTCAAGCCACAGTACACTGTGAAGACAGTGAAGCATGGTTGAACAAGCATCATGATATGGGGATGTCTCTCATACCACGGTGTTGGGCCTATTTATCACATACCAGGTGACATTAAAAAATGCAGTTTCTGAGGCAAAACCAAGAAATAGAGAAGAACTGTGGAATGTAGTACAATCATCCCGGGCGGGAATACCTGTTGATTGACTCCATGCAACACAGATGTACAGCAGTTCTCAGAAACAGTGGTTATACAACTAAATATTAATTAAGTGATTCAAAGGAAAGCAAAATCTTCAAACATTTTCAGTTTATATAGTGAATGTTTGAGTTTGTAAAGAAGAATACAAACACAGATATTTTTTTTTTGAACAGTCTAATATTCACTTTTCTTCAATTTTTTTTTTTAGAGGAACAACACAAATTTGATATATTTTTCTTCATGTTTTGATTTGGAATAGAATGTGTAGTGTTCCCAATGCATTTGTGTGTATGGAAATAAAAGCTATTAGAAGGATTTTGAGCTTTATTCACTTTTTTTCAACACACTGCTGTTATTTTGAACACAACTGAATATATTATCTATGAACAGATTGTCGTTTGTAGTGGTGTATTGGTGTAGTTGTCATAAACCTAATTGTTAGTAGCTTCTTTTAGCGGGTTCGTGCTTGGTACAGGTGTTTTGTATTAAGGTGAAATGACTGTATGCTCCAGTCCTGCATTCCCCAGTCCATGATTAAGCTCTTTATTGAGTAAGCACGGGTGTCAAACTGGTGGCCCTCCAGCTGTTGCCAAACTACAAAGTCCCGTGAGGCATTTCAAGATTGACAGTTACAAGCATGACTCCCAAAGACAGAGGCATAATGGGACTTGTAGTTTTGCAACGGCTGGTGGAGGTGCAAGTGGATATGTCAGTGCACTAAGTGAATCAATAAAATCGAAGGCTTTTATAAAGTGGAGAGCGGCTTTTTCTTCTAAATGGTATGTTCATGATGTTGAAGATGGACTGCCAGAGCTTGCATCCACTGGGGCATGCTGTCTTGTAGCGGAGCAGTGGCTTAAAGTCAAAAACACTTTTTTTATCTTTTAACTGGACGGAATGAGCAAAGAATAACGTGTTAATGAGCCTTTTATTTGTGATGATACAAATAAATGTATTATACAAAAGCAAGGAAAAGTAAAGGTCATTGCCTCATACCCATTTCCCAATACCGCAATATTACCAGTTTATACAAACACTAAAAAAAAACAAACAATAGAGAAGCACATATTTACCTTACAATATATCAAAATATTAACATTAATCTTAATATCCTTTTTCCCCTCCCTCTCAATATACAACATACCTCCCCTCTCCCCCCGCCCTTCCCTTCACAACCTCGACTCTGCATTTTTCTACTCATTCTAGAGATCCTAATCCGAGAATAATGCTAGTTTAATCCTATATTGATCACCCATATATTAATCTTCTCTATTACATAAGCGCTAAAAATAAGTTCGACTTTTTAAATACCTCCCATTTTTTCCATCTTATACGGAAACTCTCCATCTTATCTTTGTCCATATGATAAAGTTCCTCAAATCTATATATCTGATCCACCCTATCTATCCAATCCTTTGTTTTTGGTACTCCTTGTTCCCTCCAAAATTTGGGTATCAAACCCTTCGCTGCATTCAAATAACACAGTTAACCAGATTTTTTATATTTTTTCGCTGAAAGCTTAGTACCATGAAAAAGACAAATCTCTGGGTCTTTTGGGATATTAACCTCCGTTATTTTCTGAATCAGGCGAACTATACTCCCCCAATACTCTTGGATTTTAGGACACTCCCACCAAATTTGAAACATTGTACCTCTGCCTCAACATCCACGCCAACATAAAGGTGAATTATCTCCACTTAATCTATGTGCTACACTCGGTGTGATATACCATCTTGCCAAACATTTGTAATTCATTTCCACCTCCTTCATATTTACATTCCCATGAATTAAACTATACATTTTCTTTTGCTTTTCC